TTTAATCTTGTTGTTTAATCAAAGTGATCACTAATAATTAGAATTATATGTTGCGTTAACATTCAACCAACTTAGCAAAATTATAGTTTGGAGCAAATTGAATCTTTGTTTACATGCCTTTGAGATCGCAAGAATTACTTTTCACAATAAGTATCGAGTGGAGGCCAATACGGGCGAATGTGACTTCATGACTCACTTCGTACCATCATACCTATAGGCGTCACTCGAAGTGCGCCTACGTTAAAGCATGTGTAAATATGTTTGGCACTCATAGGAAATGGGAATTGACATATACGATTAGGGACAAATAAAGTAGGGAGCCGCCAACAAGTTTATAAGGAACTTGTAAACCGTTCACGGATCATTTAAGGCAACCACGAATAAAGGGACAACGAAGGCAACAACGATTGACCTATGAAGGTTACACCTCATTCATAATCCATGAGATTACTAACTCCATATGGTTCGGAACCACGAAAGGATGATCGGAGATGATGGTAAGAAGTGCGTCATGGAGTCACATTCGCTCGTATTGGCCTCTACTCGATTCTTATAGTGAAAAGTGATTCCTGCGATCTCAAAGGCATACAAAAAAAAATTCAATTTGCTCCAAACTATTATTATGCTACATTGGTTTAATATTAATGCAACATATAATTCTAAAAAATTAGTGATCACTTGATTAAACAAGATTAAAAAGGAACCTAAAACGGTTGTCCAAATTATCTTATTAGGCGTGATTTTCAATTACATATTCTCTTTAAACATTCGATATCATGATCAATAAATAATGATAGAATAAACATTAATGTTGGAAGCAATTTGACAATAATAACGTTAGTCAAAACAAATAATAATAATAACCCTAATCGTGATACTAGCAACAAGAATAAAAATAAGAGTAATTAAGTGATTAATTCTTACTTTCCGTGTTTTCTTGAATTGCTGCATCATGAATAAACTGTTAGTAACTTCAATAAAAGTAAAATTGAAACAATTAAATTAAATAAAAATTTGAGTTGATTTGGTCCAAACCCTCAGTTAATTATACCTTTCACGCCTTGGTTTAAGGACGGAACCTCGGTTTAAGTACGAACTCCTTGGAGTGCTTAAGGGAAGTATGGTGTAATTAGGAATATAGGTTTATGGCTTACAATATGAGAGAGAGAGAAGAGAATGATTTTTGGTGTAAAAGAGAGGAAGAGATAACGATTTTATGATCAAGCTTGTTGATGATTGAAAAAGGGGAGATATGACATCTATTTATAAGAAAAGAAGGGTCGAAGAATCAAGAAAAGATAAGAATTCGAATCGAATAAAACTCTTGCGATAGACAGCAGTTTTTGCGGTTTTTGTTTTTATCATATCTTTTGATCAAGAAATCGGAATAAGATAAATAAGATATCTTTGGAAAGATCTTGAATTCTACTTTCTAACCCAATTCAAATCAGAATAAATGATATGGCCGAAATAGTGAGACGGTGTTAGTTTTGGATAGAGTTTGACATTTTAGTCACATCTTTTCCGTTATAGCTCAGAATTGATATTATAATATATCTGGAAAGATAATTTCAAGGGCTATCCAACCATATAAAATTTTGATAAAAAATATGAGGCACAAAAATATTATCTGTCCATCTTTGAACGTCTTTCGATTCGAATAGAATTAGGACTTTCTAAAAAAGGAGTTTTATTCAATTTCAAACTATTTAATCTTATCTTTTCAAAAAGGATAATTAAGATCTTTTAGAAACTTATAGAAGCTTCTAATTAATCCTAATTGGTTTAGGGATGGGATTAAAGCTTTTGGACCCTCCACATGATCATTGGGTCGTAGGTAAGGTGGGCTTAGGTTCGGTTTGGGCTTAGTTTAATATTTTGGCCATAACTTATTCGTTATAACTCGGATTTGGGCTTATAATATATCGTTGGAAAGCTCTTTTCAATCCCCAGAAAATTATTCAATCATTAGACCCAGATTATGGACCAAAATAAAATGTACTCAACGTTTTTATAAAAAGGATACAAAATGATTGATTTTAAAGGACACGAAATGAATTATTTTGGATTTAAAGGCACGAAAAGAGGAAAATAAGTTATGGTTTGGGGAAATGGGCTAGGAATTGGTTTGTTTATGAAATGTATATATGGATTTAAGCACTCCAAAAATTAAATACTCAACCCGACCAATAATGGCGATGAAAGGTTGTTCATCATCGGGTTTGGTTTTGGGGAGACATTTTTAGGTGTCTACAATCCCCGATCCTCCTTTCGTGGTTCCGAACCATATGAAGTTTGTAATCTCATGGATTATGGATGGGGTGTAATCTTCATGGGTCAATCGTTGTTGCCTATCGTTGTCCCTTTATCAAGGTTACCTTATAATGATTCGCAAACGGTTTACAAGTTCCTTAAAAAGTTGTTGGTGGCTCCCTATTTTCCTTGTCCCTAATCGTTTATGTCAATTCTCACTTCCTGTGAGTGCGAAGCATATTCACAACATGCTTACGTGGGCGCACTTCGAACGATGCCTACACCCTCTAAAATATTTATTTACTCATTTGCCCTCATTAACGTTAACTTTCTTTTTTTTAAAACCTTTAGAATAGTATATAGACTTTTATGCCCTTCAAAATATTTGTTTATACATTTTTCCTCATTATGTTGCCAACTAAAAACACTTTGAAAATAGCTAATTATGGCACTTGCACCGTACACGTTAGCCAACTTAGTAAAAATAAAAAAAAAGGGAAATTCTCTTTGGTGAACTCCAACTTTTTATTTTTCTAAGTCGTAAACGTTCTTAAATTTTATTATCAATGGTAAACCTAAATTATTGATTACCATTGATAAGTGTTATTTCCTTAACTATAATTAGCTTTTTATATTTTTTAACAATATTAAAATTAAATAAATATAAAAAAATAAAAAAAAAAACAAAAAAAAACCAGACCCTCCCCCAACCCACTGTCAGCCCCTTTCTGACGACTTGAAACCGCCAACCTACCCATCCCAGGCGGCTGGAAATTAGCGACCCACCCATCCTTGGCAGCCGTCGACCCTATCCTTCTCCCTTTCCCCCATTCCAAAACCCAAAAATCGCAAAACCACCGCTCAACCTCCCCTTCACCCACCGACCCACCCTAACCTCCACTGCACAGCGAACCTATTGCCCCACGCTCGCCGACCTGCCAATCTCCACTGCACCGTTTTCCTCTCTCCCCAAAACACCCTTCCATTCCCCAACGAAACCCTTCCCCACTGCCAAAAACCCCATATCTTTCCTCCCACCAGCTCGAAACCCTAGCGGCTAGGGTTTTCGATGGTTGGGGAGGGGTTTTCGGCTGTGGGGGAGGTGGTTTTAAGGGATTTTCGAGAGGAGGGAGAGGTTTCAAAGGAGGTAGGTGGTTTTTGATTGAGCATTGTCGCCGAGAATAAAGAGGGAAGGTGGGGGTTCGCAGCACCGGCGTGGGGAGGAGGATATCGGCGCAAGGGGAGGGGGTTAGGAAGTGGTCGGAATTAGGTGGTTTTGGGGGATCGGCTAGTGGCCGCGAGCCCGTGATTAGGGGTGGTTGGTGGTTTTTAGGGTTTGGATTGTTTTTTTTTTAAAATTTTGTTTAAAAAATGTTCATAAATTATTTTAGCCAATGCACTTGTGACATGTGTCACTTAAAATTACCCAAAAAAAAAAAAAAAAAACTAACTATAGTTAATTATCTAGTTAAAATTTAGCATTAATGTTATAGTTTACTTAATATAAGAAATTTAAGTTTACCATTGATAATAAAATTTAGGAAAAATTGACAAAAATAATCCCAACTTTCACCGATTCGCTCAAAATAATCCCAACTTTGAATTAATTTTAAATAATTTGAACTTTAAGGGCAATTCGCTCAAAATAGTCCAAACCGGTCACCTTACCTATTATAACAGGTTAAGGTGAAACGTGTCACCATGTAATTGGTTGAGGAAAAAAAATTTAAAAATTAAAAATTAAAAATATCTTAATAATTATTTTTTAAAAATTAAAACTTTAAAAAATTAAAAAACAAACCCACCATCAACATTAGCAATTCGACTCCAACAATCATCAATTCCCCACCAATTACATCAATTCGGGACTACAACATCTTCAATCTTTGAATTGTGATCCAATTAGAAATACCCAAAAGGTGTGTGATACTGACGAACCAACATAAAAATGCAATTTTGCATTGTGGGTTTAGATTTGGAGGTTCACGGTGGGGGTTTAGGGGGAAAGGCCGCCGGGAAAGTCATCGTATAAGGCAGAGCCGGCGGTTGGGGAGGGGGTTTGGGTTAGGCCGGTGGGAGGAGGGACGCCGGAGTGCCGAACTTGGGTGGTGGTGGGGTTTTTGTTGGTTGGGGTTGGGTGTTCTTTTTTTTTTCAGCCATTCACATAGTGACATGTGTCACTGAAACCCAAAAAAAAAAAATTACCTATTTAACAGGTTACCGGTCACTTTAGACCATTTTGAGCAAATACTCTCTAAAGTTCGGATAATTTAAAAATAATACAAAGTTGGGATTATTTTGAGCGAATCGGTTGAAGTTGGGATTATTTTTGTCAATGTTTCCTAAAATTTAAGAATGTTTACCACTTAGAAAACTAAAAAGTTGGAGTTCACCAAAGAGAATTTCCCAATAAAAAATGAACATGATGAAGGCAGTAATAGTACTACCCTTTGGATTGGCCACATAGTAGTTACTTCCTCCGTTCTTTTTTACTTGACCCGCTTTGACTTTTATACTATTTACTACTCCTCCTTTGACCGTCTTTTGTGAATAATTTGTAAGGAAAAACATATTCATGGTGGATATTTTTAAATTCGTCTCAAGAAATACTATCATAATATATAAATTTTATAATTTTTACTTATGGAGAATTAAAGTTATTATTCGTTGAGGTTTTACATTGGCAAGCGTGATAAAAGAAACAGGTCAAGTAAAAAAAAACAAGAAGTATGTTTTTTTTCATTTTGAATAGGAGATTTGCGTGCTAGAAGAGATTTGAAGTGTATACATTGTATACTACTATAACTATAGTATTTTATTTTATTTTTATTTTTTTTACAATGGTAAGAAAAAAGTAAACATTAGGAAACCCTCCTCACGAGGGGAATTCCTAATGCGTCGGTAGAAAGAATGGGAAATAAAGAAGAATTATTACAAGGAACTATATCCATACTATTACTAACTAAATGACCAACATTTGCTATACATTTGCTATCCAGACCGCTGCTTGATTTGCCTCCCGAAAGATGTGACGAACGCTCCAGTTATCGAAATTGCTTAGAAGTGAACAAATGTCTTTAATAATATGATCAATTTGCCATGGTGTTGACCAGATGTCATTAACGGAGTTGATTACCAAAAGATTATCACCTTCAATTATGATATTTTTGATCCCACGCTCAAGAGCTAGAAGAATGCCTTTAAAAAGAGTCATGGCCTCTGTTATGTAAACCTTGGTGGTGCCGAGGTTGAAAGCGCGAGCTCCTAAAACTGCCCCACTACTGTCTCTGATGAGAATCCCTGCTGTTGCTGACTTGTTGAGTATTGAACCGTCAAAATTATGACATCCATCACTTTAAATTAGAATAACAATATATACTGTACGAAATGGATCATAAAGTATTATGTGAAGGTTCCACGGCTCCATGCTCTTTCAATGAAGAAAATTTGTAACCTTGATTATTTTCTTCTTCCAAACTGTTGGGCTATCATTTGTAATTCTGTCTGGAGGGAACTCATATCATACAAACCCATCTAACAAAGAACAAACTACAGTATTTCGTAAAAAGTTGCTACAAAATTGCCAAGTACAAGCTACAATGTAAACATTTACATCAGTAATACAACCATATTCGGACAGCTCAACGAAGCACATAAACTTGCAAAGCCAAGATCACGAAATTTTCTTCTAGTAAGCTCAGGAGCTTGAAATTTTCTCCACATTAACTACACAACCATCCATGTCAAATGGCGATAGCCAGCCCACTTAGCAGCAACACGAATTCCAATGGCTAATGCGACACCCAACAAAGGAAATGGAACTTTTCCCATAGAGGGAGTAACTTCAGCTACTTCACTTCCTTCTGCAAGGTTTTTAGAATGATGATGAATAGCCAATGCTGTAAAGGATATTATCGTTAAAACTCTAACCCATGGCTCACCAACAGAGGCCAATACAGTTGCTACAGGTAATGCAGAAGAAACATTATCCCTGTTTTTAAATAATCGGGAAAAGCTGAAGAGACCAGCAAACATTAGCCAGAAGACTGGTTCAATGATGAAACCTCTCACTGCTCCATAACCAATAATCCCAGCTACAGTAAGAAGGTAGGGTTGGCACTTTAGTGAGTTTGGAGAAGCCACTTCTCCAATTGCAAGTATAATAGAAGCGAGCATAATGATAGAGGTTAATTCTGGTATTGGAGCAGATGTCACTATGCTGGAGTAAAAGGAACGTACTGCATGAACTGCAGTCTCAAAAAAGAGAATTGTGTAGGAGATAGGGTCACCTATGAAATGGAATATGAGAGCCAAGACAAATTTCGATAGGTATCCAATAAAATGGAAAATATTCACTACGAGCTTTTTCCAATTGGAAAGTTCCCACAAGACTGATCTCCAAGCATAGATGAGAAATGCTAGCGCTGCATATATCATAAGCAAAGTCAGAAAAAGGCAAGAATAATTAGTTGCACTAGCATGGAAAGATCCCTCAGTAGTTTAGTAAACAGATTGTGTTTCCTCATAGTAAAACCCAATAAGGTCAGTACAGAAGAGGCAAGCTTTAAGGGCAAGAAACATATCGTTCTAATAGTATGCATACTTGTAAGTTACTGCGTACAACATATCATCAACCAGTTAAATGCTGGGCATGGACACAAGTTGAGCAGCACCATAGAGTTCAATACAGCAAAACTAAGGTATGGGACAATAAGGGTCTTCCTATCATCTTTTATGTCCATAGTAGCAGCTATGATACCTTCACTACACTTCTTTCAATCTTAATCCCCTGGAAAACTGGCTATACAATTATCCAAAAAAAATTCTCTACAAAATCAAGACAGCAACATCAGACACATATAGGTGATCAGAAATTGCAGCACCTACAAAATTAGAGATTCAAATAAAGTACAAATAGTTATTCCTCTTCATCATAATCAAGTACCCATTCTAGAAGATCTCATGCTATTAAATTTATCATGTACAATCCAAATACTTTGAGGTTCTGAGTACTCTTCAACCTCAATATTCCTTAGTGCACTACAAATCAAACACCCACGATCTACTTTAGGCATCTTTGTATTCGTCCCATATAACACACACACACACACACACACACTCAACTCTAAGAAAATCTTATTTGAATAGCCTAGCTAGTGTTTCTAAACAGCACCAAAATCAAAAAGTTTAGACTTTAAAGTCATTGCAAGACTGTAACTTTACTCTCGTGTATAGCTGCTAGTGGAGGATTTTTGGTATTTCTAAGAAGTGATACCACATCTCTTAGTAAGGGTTGAATGGTACATAAAAGTTATTTTTCCTTGAACAAAGGAGAAGCAATCAGTAGAAAGTTAAAATCAACAGGAGAGAAGATAGAAAAAAGTATTTATTCAGGGTCCTCAGTTACCCCCTCCCACAAAAAAAAAAAAAAAAAAGAGGGGCTCGTGATTTCATGATGAAAAACAACCCCAACATTCCCTCCAACCTCTATAATTTTCATATTCTTGGCCTACTATATTTTGTTTAGAAGAGGCAGGCAAGGAGGTGAGGAGCACATAAAGAAGGCTAAAGAGGGACGACTCCTTAACTTTGAAGCTTACAAGCAGTTCCAAATATCCTAATTCCATTTCAATACACAAGAGAATTGAAAGAAGACTTCAAAACAACAGAGAGGGAAAAAGGGGGGGGGGGGGTTGGGGGGTTGTTCTTCCTTTCCCCCACACTCCTTATCGTCTTTTCATTTTTAATGCTGCAATCACCATAAAGAAGGACTAGCAAACAACATTCACAGAATGTTATTTTTACAGTATTTCTTTTCATTACCCTTGCCTAAAACATTCCCTACAGTTAGTAATGACTAACACGTACTAATGAAGTTTTAAGTAGAAACACACATACATATAACTGGAGAAACAATACCATGAATATCATCAACTGTCATAAAACTTCCCTTGCAAAATTCATATAAACTCATTGCCGTAAGAGTATGCATATAGAGATGCGATATTAAACAGCTATCGATTAGCCATTTCTTATAAACTCATTGCCATAACCACCAATCAAAATGTCTACAAAACAAGCCATAAGGGTATGCTATGCATACATAAATTGGATATTAATGAGCTATTTATATAAAAACAGCACTAACCCATTTTACTGAATTTCTTCATGTCCCATTTTTAACAGCCCTGTAACTAACACATTTTCCACTCTGTCAATCAATTCTAATTCAAATTTCCCCAAATTGGTGAGCAAACTCAAAAAAAAAAAAATAATAAAAAAAAAAATCAATTACATTAACCCATTTTACAGAATTTCTTCTTGACACATTTTTAAATTTAACAGCCCTGTTAGTCTGTTACTAACACATTTTCCACTTAATTTTTATCACTCAATTTCAATTTGAATTTCTCCAAATTTGTGAGTAAACTCAAAATCAAAATATCAACAAACAAGAAATGAAGATAAATTCCCAATAACATTCATTCTTTAAAAGGAAGACATATTTACAAAAACAGATAAAAAAACATTAAATCAAAAGAAAAGGAGGGAGAAAGATACCTACAAACCAAGGCCAACGAAGAGGAGGAGAAGGAACTTCCTTAGACAAGTACTTAAATCTATCAGGCATTGTGCTTTTACCCCTCAATTCTTCCAATTCTTCATCCTCAATTTCTTGCTCACTTCTCTTTTTCTCTCCTCCACTATTCTCAGCTCGAACATAAAATCCCAATTTAGCCCCAGAAATGCGAAGCCCAAATCGTTGGGTGAACGAAGAATCTGATGTAGAGGAGTTGAATTGAAGGGTTTGATTAGTGCTGCTGCTGCTGCTCCCTTGGCGGAAAAATGTGGCACGGGTTGTGAGTTTGGGAGTTGAGTAACGGTAGTTTCGCCATGAAAGCGGTGAACAGGTGCTAGAAATTGATATTGACATGGTTGAGAGGCTGACACTAAAAAATGGTTCACCATATTTGAGTTTTCTTAGAACAAGTTTTGTACCCTAAGTTGTACGGCTTATTTACTAAATTGTGATATAAATTTTTATTCTATACTTAAATTTCAAAATATATTATGAATCAAAAAAAAAAAATTCAAAATATATTTGTAATACAAAATTAGCTAGGAATTAAAGTAATTTTGTCACGATTTAAACTAATGTAGAAGGCATGTAAAAGACTAAAAATAATATTTGTATTTTTTTTTTTGAGTTATAAACTAATTTTTTTTGACTGAAAATATAATACAATTTATACATATGAAATTTTGGTATTTTATTGATACTAAAACTCTCAACAAATAATTTTATCTTAAAATTCTATCCAAATTTGATTAAAAATAGAATTCTTAACTTTTTTTTTAAAAAAAAAATTATTTTTTTTTTACTTTTTTTTATCTTATGAAATCTATGTACATATACCCAATGTGGCGCAACATTTGACGAAAAGTAAGAATGCCAAATGTTGATGTCTTGTGGCCTGACTAAAAGTTTAGCTTTATATATTAGTTATATAATGGGTTTATCAATTATTATTTCTTTCCGTTCCATAATAATTGACACATTTATTATTTTCTTTCATCCCAAAATATTTGACACGTTACCAAATATATGAGACCACTAATAAAAAATATTTTCCAACATTTTTTTTCTCCCCACTACTCCACCTCCTCCACTTTTTGTTTGTTGTTTTTTTTAACTATATAAAAATACAAAAGAGAATCATTAATACTATTTCCGTTTCATAAAATCTGCAACGATTTCCTAAAATGGAAACTACACATTATGTACAACAAACTAAAAGTTACCTCTTTTAGTAAATTTTTTGTGTAAAATTACCACCATACCCTTACTAAATTTTACTTAAATTCAATAAACAACATATTAACTCTTTAACCCAAATTAATTTATCCCTATAATTAAAACTCTAACCCACATTCTCTCTTCTCCCTCACAACCTTATCCACCACCAACACCACCACTTTTGCACTCTCCTCCCTCTCAACCACCACAAGCACCATCCCTATCCTCTTTTCTCTCTCTTCTCTCACCGCACTACCACCAGCACTCGGATCCATCGCACCATCTGTTCTCTCTCTTCTCTCTTCTCTTGTGGTTGGGGGCGCATTTCAGATCATGGTGGCGATATGGGGTTTCGATTTTTGATGGTGGTGAGGTCGGGTTTCAATTTGATGGTGATGGTGAGGTAGGTCGAGTTTCAATTACCCTCGATTTCCGCAAGACCCTCATACTCGTGACAGTCATCGATTTCTCCAACTCCAGTTCATCGCCCCTTTCACCCTTTTCAAAGCCGTGCGATTTGGTTGGGTGGGTTTGTTGGTGGTGGTAAGTGGGGATTTTGGTTCTTTGGTGGTGAGTTGGGGTTTTGGTTCGTTGGTGGTTGGGTGGGGATTTAGTGGTGGTGCGAGTTGGTTGGATGGGTTTTGGGTTGTGGTGAGGTAGGGCTTCGTTCGTTGGTGGTTTGGTGGTGTTGTTGGTCTTGTTGTGGCGTTGGTGGTCTGGTGGTGGTGCGAGTTGGCTGGCTGGGTTTCGGGTGGTTGTGGTGGGGTTGTTTTCTCTCTCATCCAATTAATCACATGCCCTTTTGTTTACTAATCTTTGCTTAAGAAATTTTGCCTTGGGAAATGTGCAAGCCCCTTTGCTGCACATTTTATGAAACAAAGGTAGTATAATAAACATGTTTTAAATGGACCTACTTGTAGTTTTCTTAATCTACGTTACCACCCCAACGTCACAAATATTATGGGACGGAGGGAATACATTACAACAAAATAATAATTGTGCATGCCCATAATAGTTTGTAACTACCTCAATAATATGACTATCTTTGTAACTTCCTTGTAATTCTCATGTGCCATTAATTAACATTGTAACCCCATATGAATGGACTCTTTATTGTCCATATAGGTTGCATTTTTTTTAATGGAAAGGTGAGCAAGAAGTTGATAATCTTCTCTCAAAACTATACCCTAACTTATTAGAATAGATATAAAAAGAAAATTTACTATATAAAAATGGATTGATATCTTGGTAAGCTTGCCAACCTCTCCATATATGTGGCGCAAATCAACATAGGTGAAATTTCAAATCAGCTCCTTAACGTCCTCCAATAATAGCTGATTTTTCCACGGGCACTAAGTCTTTCTTTGCAAAATATTAATAATTAGCAAATTATCCCCCTTCAATAAATACTTTTAAAATATTATGAGCATGTGCCAAAAGAAGACCCTTACGAAGGGTCGTATTTTCCGCAATAAGAGGAGTACTCATACCAATATTAAAATAACGACTACAAATATTATATTCTAAATGATCTCTATCTTAGAACAACGCCTACGGTTGCTAAATCATCTCGAACAGAACCATAAAAAATTATTTTAATAACACAAGGGGGAGGGGGCAACCAAGAGACACGTATACTCCTAGGGGTAGGATAAGAAGGAAGAGCGGGAGCAAGAGTATCCAAAGATTCGAGACAAGAACGAAAATGCCATTCATGATAAAAAAATTTGAGCATGAGAAAAAATAGTCATATGAGAAAAAAAACAATTTCATCAAAAATCACTAAATTAGATACTTCATAAAGAAATTATAAAATTTTCTTAGAGACATAGAGAAATTACCCTTTAAAACTTTAAAAAGCAAATAAATACTAGTGGTTAAAGGGACCTGACCAATTCAATGAATAGTAGCATCAGTATGCCAAAACTGAGAAGTGTAGGAACAAGATAGAAAAAAATAATGATTTTAAGTTTCATCATGACAATTACAAAGGGGGCACATAGAAGGAATATCCAACTGACGATAAGCAAGATTAGCCCTTGTAAGTAGAGCATTATGAAGAAATTTCAAAACAAAAATTTTCAGTTTTGGAGATATATCAAGTTTCCAAATCCATGAAATTCCCATTTATTATGAGAAGAGATATTATGAGCAAGCCAAGTAGTTGATTTGACAGTATAATCACCAGTGTTAGAGAATCAAGGCTCATCTTGAATAACTAAAGAAGGAAGTGAGATTCCTTTAAAAAGATGGACAATATTAGACGGGACATAAAGAAATAGAGTAGAAACATCCCATTTCATTATTGTCCAAAATGAAATGATCAATAGTAAGATCTAGGTTTTTGGATATTCGAAATATCTAAATTAAGCATAGTGATTAAATTTTCAGAAGATCACCATTTATCAAGCCAGAATAGAACACTAGTAACATTACCAATTTTCCATCGAAGGCCACGAAGTAGGAAGGGGCGCATTCGAAGAAATTTTTTCCCAAATCCAAGAGTCCTAAAGATGAGATTATTTTCCAACCTACTTTAGCTAAAAAGAAGGAGTTAATTGCTTCAGTTTTACAGAGGCCTGAGCCACCATAATATTTAGATTGACAAGTTTTATCCCATGAGATCATAGGTATACTTGATTTGTTTGGGGATTGTTTCCAGAAAAAATTTCTAATAATTTGATCAAGAGAATTAGTAATAGTTTTCGGTAAGCAAATTGTGGACATAACAAAAGTTGGTACCGCCTCCAAATTGTCAATATATATATATATATATATATATATATATATATATATATATATATAGTGACCAAAAATTCCGGGTAATAAATTAAGGAACTGATTACAACCAGCTCTAATTCCATTTCTCAATATTTTGGACCTACAACCGGTTTGGGTACCCAATTATCCAACTTATGTTACACTAAATAAGTTTTTTAAAATAAAATTATGTTATATGTATCCAATTAGTAAATTAATAAAAAAATTATTAATACCTAACGTAGGGTTGGTGCTCCCAAGGGTTCACATGGGTAACCAAACCATTCATCTAGGTTAAAGCATCTTAATGCATATATAAATACAAGTGTTAAACGCTAAAAACGAAAATAGACTAAAATAAGTATTATAATTTATATCATATTTTAACAATTATGTACACAAGTTGGTACCCGAAACTAGAACCGGTACCTGGTGGTTGCAATTCCAAGTCCTAAATTTTAGGAATCGGTTGAACCAATTCCAATTCCGGTTCTGAATTTTAGGACCTGATCCTAACTAACTTCGGGTCTGGGTTCTAAAATTTTAACTGGGTACCCGGTTTGCTCACCCCTAATTATCAGCACCATTGCTAACTGTTTCGGGGTTTTTTTGGAATCCATTGGGATACTAGTTATGCTTTGCTAGCAACAAGACTCAGACACCTGCAAAAAATGGAGCTTCGCTTTATCGGGGATCATCAAGTTAGAGACTGGAAAACGTAGTAAAACTTGAGAGAGAAAGTAGAGAGAAGTTGGAGCTATTTAGTGCTCTATTAACTTTTATGTCACAATCCAATCATAAATGATTGGAGTATTTATAGGGTTTGGGAATTGTGCTCTTTTAGGGTTATTACCCTAGAATGACACGATTTGATTGGTGACACAATCAAGTTGCGACACGTGTCTAGGGGTCAGCGTCGTTTTGTAGATTTCTTGATATTTTGAGGCCCTTTTCTCTTATTTCAGGTGCTCTTCTTAAGCTTGACTTACACTTCTAGATGATCTTGTGTGTTTGGAGAGATCCTTCTTCGACTTTTGGATCAGAAAGGTTTCCTCGTCCGCATATTGTTGGCTTTTACTACTAGCTGATTATATTCCTTTGTCATTTTTAGGCTTCCTTGAATTGAGTCAATTTTCCCAAACGACCTCTCAAACTTCAACAACATCAAATGAGGAACGATTACTACCTTTGTTTCATTTAGCGTAGGGTGGTTGAGTATGACATTTGTAGCCAGTGAGCTCTTTGACCACTAGGAAGCGGACAACCATGTCCTTTCCTTCCCCCTTTTGCCCGATTTGGACGTGTAAATCGATCTGTCCTACTGGATGTATGATGGACCCCCCAAACCCAACCAACGGGTGAGAAATGTCCTTGAGAGCATCCTCAGCAAGATTCAAATTTTTCAAGGCAACCAAACTGATAATGTC